AGGTTTAACAATCATAAAAATTTTATGGCAACCAAATAAGCTCCCAGTAAACCTTCCCTATTATTGTCATAGTCATAGATGTGTATGTCTTTCTCAGTTTCCAACACAATAAATGAAAGGCTTAGGAAGACTGACAAAGACAGAATCAAAGATAGATTTATGACTGACATTTTGTGGTCCCTTCTAACAAAAGTGGTGAACAGAAAAGATTAGAAATTTTGACAGATATAAAAACTTTGTCCCCTCAGTAAAACTCGATAAGTATCTTTCTGGCACCTCTAAGATGTCCTTATCCTGTACTTTAGGTAATTATTGGTTTAAAAGTCTTGTTTTGCCAATTCTTGAGGAGGCCACAGTGTCTTACCCCTATATTCACAAATCCTGCACTTACTCATGAAATTCTTAGTGAATGAATAAATACATGCTTATGCATCCAGTAGCATATTGGTTCTAACAATGTGCTAGACATAATGGGTGCTGTGTAATTCTGGAAATATTGAGGCCTTCTATTGCAGTAATCCCATTTTATATTTCTACATGGTTTGATGTAGTAGAATTTCTCCTTAAAGTCTTACTTTAAAACTGTTTCTTCTTTTCCCCCATGTGTATTCATTTCTGAATTGAGTCTTTGAGTTCTTTAGAAGAAAAGTATTATGTGAAACCTAACGGGTAACTACTAGTGACTTTACATGGTTGAGATTTATTAGTCTGGAAAAGACTTCCAGTAATTTTGCCCAGGTAATCAGAGGACAAGAATGTTATTTCCAAATCTCCTGCATCTGAGAAGTGTTTTTGCTAATGAGGACAATGTAGGTGGCAGTTGTTTCTGCTCAGTCTTTATCCCCATATACCACCAATGAAGAAGAAATCCAAATGCTTTTCCATTAGGCATGGATTAGGAACAATTTATTCAATTATAATCCACAAATTGAAATTTTTTCCTTGATGATTTTATTTTTACTAAACTCACGAATTTGCAATACTCCATTATAGGGTGAGATTATAGTTTAAATAACAACTTTTTAGACCATGCCCTAAATTTAGTTATTTTACAGCTTAACTATATCTTATCTGTTGGAAGGACATTGGAATTCATGGTGATTTTTTTCCCCTCCAGGCTCAGAGTCTGCGACTGCTAAAACTAGTGGGGCAAGGTGGGAAGGAGAGGCAGCTGGTCCAGTGCTTTCTTTTGGGGGGGGGGGGCGGCGGCGGGGAAGAGGCCAGAGAGGCCAGAGATAAAGGCATTTTCACCAGACCAGAATTGTTTTGGTCTTTCAACAGTGACCATTATAAAACAGAAACAAAATAAGACAAGTAATGATAGCAAGAGGGATCAATTTTTGTTGAAATTTTATCTCCCTCCCTAACTTTTCTGCCTCCTTTTGAGTCTTTTAAATTTTGGTGTAAATGTTGCAGTGCAAAGCTGAAAAGAGGAAAGAAAGGCCAAAATAAAAACTGGGGTTATTCTGTAAAATGGAAACCTATGTATGATAATTTTCACAGGGTGCACAAGAGCAACATGGTGTATTGTAGCTACCTCTCGTGCTTGATTTTAGGTTTAATGAACGTCAAGTGTGTTTTACTTTCCTAGCCTAGTAAGAAGGCTCTGGAACTTCTAAAAGGTCTGATCTAAGGTCGATGCAGAATGCTCCTTTCCTTTCTGGTGCCATCTGTAGAAAAAGTGGAAAGGTGGAGGAGGGACAGCCAAGGCTGCCAATGAAGGCAGAGGGGGTCAGGCACCCCACTTCCCCTGCTCTGGGCACAGGTTCCCGCAACCTTTATCATATAAAACTCAAGTTTATATTTAGAAATTTGATCCAATTTGGGAATAGATGAGGTGGTTCCATTGCAGTTGTTTTATGTCACAAATATTTCATTCCATAAATATTCACTGAGCTTCTACTATCTAATAATGAACTGGCATAACAGAAAGATGAGCAAGACCCACCAGTCCCCTCTAAGCTTTGATGATGGGGGCAGGGGTGGCTTTTCACCTCCAGAGAAAAGGGCCCTTTGGTGATAAAAGAGCCTGCTTGGGCTTCCTGTCCCTGTGTTTTACACACACCAGCCTGTCCTAATAATCATAGAGGTTAGTGATTAAACTGGAAGCATTTCATTTCTAAGTGCTCTATTTCAACATTACATCATAACTACCAAGTCATCTAATAATTATTGTTATTAACTTCACAAAGCTTACTCAGCCAGATGTAGACATTCTGAAAAGCTTACAAATAATCCCAGGAGATTAATAATATGATTTGACAGTGTGGTAAAGAACACTAATTTAATTGCTTTTTATCTCTATATCTCCTTAGGATGGAAAGACTAGTCAAATTAAACAGTTGGGATTTAGTAGCCTGATACTATCTTAATGTAAATTAACAAACACTTGGAAACAACAGAGGATATAAAAAAATTTTTTTGAGCTTGGGTAATTTGAATCCTGATTCAAAATGGTACTTAGACTGAGCAGCAGGTAGTATATTACATTCTATTATCTATCATTATCTTTTGAACCCTGTAATTGGACAAACAGGAAACTATAATAATAAGTTTGTTTAAAATCATCTGTTTGAAGTCTTGGGTGCACATTGCAGCCATATTGAATGGCAGACAAGCTGTTTATTTTTTCTATCTTTGTTCATCTGCTACCACAAAGTATAGCAACATGTCATACATGGGACTCTACAGCATCTTAGCAAAATTACTGAAAAAAATCATGATTTCTCCCCCCTGCCTTCCATTCCATAAATGGGCACCATGAAGCTTACTTGCAATGAGGGGGCCACCGCTGAACCCTCCCATCCCTGCCAGCACTGGATGCACACAATTATGCTGAAGCCAGAACTGGGATAAAGCACTTGCCTTCTGGAATTTTCATTAGATCCCACTGCTTACTTGCTTGATTTCTCCTATCACAGCTTTTATTTTTCAATAATTATTTGGCAGTTATATTCTTTTTGTCATGGCCTTCAAAAGTTGAGGTTGTATAACATACCCACATAGGGTATCTTCTAAGATTTCAGTGGCAAAGCAATATAAGCCATTATAGGTCTGTTTTCAGGGTTCATTATCAATAAAGCAAAATATCAGCATTTTCATACCTGTTAAGGCTTCAAGGAAGTGCAGTGTTGCTATTATTATCTTTAGACCAGACAGCCTCCTGCCTCCACCAAAGCAGATGGAATGATGAATCCATCAAAATGAAAAAAAGACTGAATGGATCAGAGTCATAGAGTGGGATGCTGACTAGGTTCACTGCATGGCTACCTGAAAATGCCTCCTTGAATTTAGCAGAGCCTGGTTGGTAAATACCATAGACCATGGCAGAACATAAATTCGCCTCATAATGAGATTAGTAGACAGGCAAAGTAAATGTCCTGCTGTTACATTAGAGGTAGACTCTAATCTGGCATTTTCCTTGGAAATCATTTCCTTTGCAACTGGCGATCCATGGATGCAACTAACTTAAATGCAACAGATTTTGGTTTGCTCTATCATTAGTTTTCATCTTCTTCTCTCTTTAATAGTGGTTTTGAGGAGACATATAAATGAGTCATAAGTCTTAAAGACTATTTCCAATGTGATCTAGGGACCTCTCTATATTCTGATCGTCAATTGTGTTTCCTAGACTTCGCTTGTAAGAAAAGTTGTGTGCAACTCCCTTCCTTGCTTTTAAGCATGGAGCTCTGCTTGGAGGGGGTTTTGTGACCACCATGGTCCTTTCACTCCAGCCTTCAGGATCAAAGGCAGATAGACTTACTATTGTACTTAGGGTTTTTTTTTTTTTTTTTTTTTTTGATCCATGCTGCAACTCTACTACTTAAAATCACTGGAAATAAGTATCACATACTAAAGAGCCTTAAGAAAATGCCCAGATCAGGTGAACTCGCATGGTCTCTGAGTAGAACAAAGGCTGCAAGTATGTTGTTTGATTGCAAGGGACTGCCTTGGTTTTCAGCAGAAGGCACTCTCACCTGGAGTACAATGCCCTCTTCTCATTAAAAATGCAAGATAGGATTTCCTCCTAGATCCTTTTCTACAGAACTTGATGCAAGTTCATGGGCTTCACTGGCCTTAGCCATGAGTGACATTTAATCAAAGCTTTCTGTGAAACCTCAGAGTTTTCCGAAACCTATAATGTCACCAAGGCAGTTAAGAGGTCTTTTGAAAAGGAATGGGAGATCAGACTCCGAATATGGGGGTATTTGAAACCTGTGCGTGGGAAGCACAGACAATTTAATGTACACCTATTTCCTCTACATTTTTTAGGGCCTGGGCTTCTTACTTCTGTGAAACTGCATTAGCAGTAGATCCTTTGCTAGTACCCCAAATTATGGCATTTCATCATAGTGTTTTTCTCGTGCTGGCAAGAAATCGAGGAACTCTTTGGCATTTGCATTTGATTTTTATGGTTTATACAGTGGTTCATGAACAGTATTTCATCTATACCAACTACAGTTTATTTCTATAGTTGGTGCTTCTATCCAAAAACTTGAACTACATATCTAGCTACTTGAAAAGAGATGTTATTTTTTGACCCAATTTAACAAGTTTTCTTTCCACTTTCCACTTAATATCCTTCTGTCTATACTTATATATTTTTATGCATCTAATTTGTAAATGTTAAAGAATTTAAAGTTAATTCTGCTTCCTCTCTCATAATTTTCTCTGCTGCCTGTTAATGTTTGCCTCATCAGATGAAATAGTTCAGGGAAAGTAAGACTAGTTTTCCATTAGATACGTGGTCCCACATTTAAAGGCACCATTTTCATTTCCACAACTCTTCCTTGCTGTACTATATCAGTCTCCCCACTCCCATTGCACCTCCATCTTTGTAATCTAGATTGGGAACAGTAAGTGAATCCATTGTTCCAAATATCCCACATAGTTGGTGTGTGTTAATAATTATCTAACTGATATGTTAAACTCAGAGTTAATGTTGAAGTTTCCTATTGAATAATTGCCCTGAAGGAATTTCCCGAATTATGTTTGCTTACCTCATACAAATGAACTTGCTCTTGGGTTACAGCAAAGATCAGTAACACATTATTTTGCACCAATTTATCAATGAGTTGTCCAATTGTTGGATATTCCTAAAATTAACATATAGATTATTAGCATCTTAACAAAAGTCCAGGACAAAGGAATGTTTATTTCAAAGAGCAGTACTCAGTTTGGCACTTAGCTCATAGGCATGGTTGTGACTATCATTCTAAGTAAACAAATATACAATTAGCATTACCCACTTAATTGGTTTAATAATTATTTCCTAAATCTTGTAAGTACAATTAATTCCTAAGAGTTCCTGTCAAGGCAGTGAATTATATTCCCTTGTCTCTAAGGAAATCACTTGAAATTTACTTAAAGACTTAGAATGAGCATGTTTCCAAGGGAAAAGACACATTTCTTCTCCTTCTAAGTGCCAGTTGCCAGCAGGTTGAACTTAGAGGGAATGTTAGATTTCAGGGAGGGGCTGGTAGGCTGTGACAGATGTGACTGTCATGGCCCTGAAACTCTTACTGGAATTGGAGGAAGCAGTGAGGGCGCAGGTGGGACATCCTGCTGAGGGAGGAGACTGATGGCTCAAATGTGTCTAACCTGACACATTAGTGCACCATTTCTTGAATTTAGTCTGACTGCTTTTTCAATGTCACTTATGGATTTTATGGGATCCTGCAGTATTTTCACAGGACAGTTGAAAACAGTATTCCTTTGTTTCATTCATTCATTCATTCATTCTATGAATACTTTGAAAAATAACAAAGTCATTAATTACCATATTTGAGGAAGGACTATACTTTCCAAGACTAGAAAACATGGAGCAAACTTGCCTATTGTTTGACCCCAAATGTGGATGTTACACAGAGTAGAAACTCAAATGAGGAAATAGCCTGCACACAATTAAACTAAAAAATTATTGATTAAACTGAAGTCAGCTGAAGTGGAGGAACACTGACAAGTAAGCCTTCCTACCCACTAATGTGTTGTGTTCATATATTCTCAGCACCTCTGGAGTATTTTTGCCTAAGGTCTTTTGGCACAAGATTCGAGTTGAGAAAAAAGTATAGTTTTGCATAAAATACTCCAGTAAATGATCCTATTGCAAACTTTGTTGTGTACATGCTTTCCATGTAATTTGTGCTTATTAGTAGATACTAGTAGAATCCAGGTAATAGAACTCTTCCTGAGTTTGACTTTTTCGATCTCCACTTTTCAACTACCCAAACATGAAGCATCCTTATGCTTTAAGAGTGAATTTCTCAGTGCTGGCCCCTCCTTATCTCTATACATTCTTAACCTTTCAACTGCTGTGTGTATGTAGTCAGGATGACACCAGGAAACCCTTCACAGGTGGATTTTTATTTGATCCAGAGCTGTTGATTTAAATTCCCTATGTGTAAGCTTTCTCAAGACCAGGGACCTATTATTCTGTGGCTCTCAGAGCTAGCCCCAGTGTTGCACATAGAAGTGTTCAAAGAATCCTCATGTTATGCTGCACACAGGCATGGAATTTTACGTAGCTTTTGGGCATTTGTAGCAATTCATTCAGCAAGAACGAATTGAGCATTTATTTGATGAAGTCATATCATGGAACAGGCAGTGCTTCTATGATCCTGCTTTTTCTGATTTATCGATTAATGGGACATCTTAATAGTTGGAAAAAAGAAAAAAAGTAATGAAAGGATCCATTTTTCAGTTCTTTACCCATTGTTGGCTGGAAGATAAAAAATGTCTATCCTCATTGATATTATAATGTGAGGATTCTTATTTAATTAATAAGTATTTCACATATGATTCTTATGTGAAAAGATTATGTGACTAAATATTATATAAGTTTAGGGAATATTATTAATCAAAGTTAGGGGAAATTTAGGAATGGTTGCAGGTAATTCATGAACCAACTATATATATATATAATTTTTGTTTTTTTAATTGCCAGCTTCTATCAAGCATTCACAGACACAAACTGAAAACTTTTTTCCAGTCTGGTATTAGAATACTGGTGGTTCTCTCTCTCATACTTACATTTCTATAATATTGTCATTTTGTGAAGTAAATTCTCTGTACCACATTTTTCCAATTGTTAAGTGGGATAATTTGATTTCCCCAGTTGCTGCTCCTAAGTCCCATTCTGTTTTACACTTTAGTCAGCGCTCACTCTTCTGGGCACTGTACTATCAGGAAATGGAGATAATAAGCGGTCCTGAGAGACAGACAGAGCAACACATTTCCATACGGTGACGGGGAAGAAGAGATGGGTTCTCCATGTATGAGAGCAAGAAAGACATGACTTTTTAGCGGTCCAGCAGAGGTCCAAAAGGGCCCTCTGGGAGCACCGTGATTAGACTGAGTTTTAAAGAGATCATGAAGGATTTCTCGGCAGCCTGGAAAAGAACAACATGAGTGCAAGCCTGGCAGCCTTCTGGTCTGTAGACAGTTAAATCCTTAGGGTTCTGGTGAAGATCAAATGACATATGTGTGGAGAGTTCTGAAAATTTTGCCTTATTTATAAAAGTTGTCTTTGAAAGCCACTGGCATTTTTCTTTTATGTCAAAAAGTCAATTGTTAATAAGCATGAACTAAGCAATACCTGACTAGTTGCTTTCCATAGAGCCCTGTGATCTATGAACGCATGGCATAATTTAGGGGACATGGCTCTGGGAATATCACTCACAGTGATTCCTAGAAGACTGCTGTTGTGGTCTGAGAGTCTCTTTCTAGAACAGAATAAGCCGACTCCGCTACTTTGTGCTAACTGTGGGCTCTCTGAAAAATTGGAGAAGCTCAAGGATCATTGTGTCACAAAGGCCAAACTTCTAATGTATGCCCGCCCCCCCTTGCTCCCATGCTCCTGTGGGAACCTCTAAGAGTGACAAAGACAGCGTGAGTTGTTAATATAAAATCAGAAAACATGTACTGCTTTCTCCATGTATGGGTTATTCTGTGTGTTACAGCAACTGTGCTTGCATTCAACCCCTGGTAGCCCTAAAAACTGTGTAAACTGCAGGTTACGCACCAAGACCGTTGACATGGAGTATTCATTCTTGCTGTCCAAGTGGCAGAGTCCATCATTAGGAATGACAATGCCTGCCAGCTTGCTGTCCATGCCAAAGTGGGAATCGGCATCACTCACGAAGACTAGGAGATGGAGGGAGTCATTCCGCCAGCCAATTTTTTCCTGTAGTGGGAAAGAAACATTTGGGTTGTATTGGCTAGAGGGAAGCTTTTGTTAAGAATGGGTCAATCATGATTGGACAGATTCTGACTGTAAAAGATACTTATTTGAAACTTTTCTTCCTGTGTTGTAAGGTGACAATATTAATGCATTGAAAACATGACATTTGCTTTATCCTAGATTAACATTTCAGGTGATTTATGTTTCAAAAAAATCTAACCCATCCCAGTAAGTCAGTTTCTGGTTAGTTTTGACTTTCAGATAGTTAATTTTATTGTCCATCTTTTAATTCATTAGGGGAGAACGTTTCCAAGCTGAAGCAAAACTAGTGAGAGTGTAACACAAAACAGACTCATGCCTGTTACATTAGCATGTCACCCAATGTTTAGGCATTATTTCACTATTGTAAATATAATACAAGGATAAGAATTTCTTATCAAAGTGTGACCCCAAGTTACTGTTAATTAGAATGGGCCATTGTTTGTTTCTTAGCAGAACTCTACCCTTTAATGTTAATCTGTAATGAGTGAGACAAAACCTTCTCACTGCATCATTCCTCTTTAACCTTCTCCTTTTAATTTTATGGTTCTTCCCCTTTCAGTGAGCTCAATCTTATTTCCATAAAAGGCTGTCATTTGGGGCAGGGGAGACAGAGGGCATGTGTGTGATTGTCCAGGCAGAATATTGTTTTTGTATAGTGGAGACAGTGTGGTATCAGATGGATATTTGGCAGATTCAAAACAGTAAATACCTAAGTATATGTAGAGTTTTATACTGATGTGTGGCCTTTTTGACTTGTTCATTAACTTCTGCCTTTCATTTTTTTTTCATCATGGAAATTCAAAGGTTAATTTTAACCTGTTCACCTGTTCTCCACTCTGTCTCTTGGGAATCCTCTTACCACCTCCCC